GAAGTTATCAGCAAAACCCAGCAGTAAGTTTTTTCTACCCTAGGAGGGATTCTCGTGTCTCCTTGGCTATGCTCATCGCTCTGGATTCCCACATCCAGCGGCATTTCTTATAAAGATCTGGTCTGACCTTGTGTACCGGAACTGACAGAGGCGCGTTCGCAATCACAGAAATTCCGGCATCCTTATCCTCTCCTCTACCTCCATTGCACGGCTCCCACTCGCATGCGCCGTCCGCCGCCACTTCCGACTCGCTCTCCTCGCGTATCGACTCCCTATTTCACTTCTAGTCATGGCCATTGGTCTCCTTGTGTACGCTCGTGCGCGTGTCCTCGCACGTCGGTCTGACATTGCCCGCGTGCCTGAATTAGTGGCTACAACCCTTGACCGACTGTCCACGCAGGCTGCACTATACGCCCGCGGCGATGCCAAAGAACCTCATATTGCCATCGGTCAGCTCCGCGATGACGTCCTCCGCTTTGAACTCCAAGGCAAGCGTCGCGAGGAGCTTTGGCGACGGGTCCGCAACTTTGTCGAGGGCAACGCTAACGTCCGCGCTTCTGTGCGGGAAGGGCGTAGCGGCGATGTTTCTCGAGTCTGGGAGTGGATCGGTGGGATCAACCCCGTCGGCGAGCCGGATCATACTAGCCGCCGGGAGAGTGCACGGTTCTCTATCCCATCTCCATCTAGTAACATCGTGACAAGCCCACACACCCCTGCGGGCGAAAGTCAACCTGAGCCTATTTCTAGTCCCAGAGAGTCTCGCCGCTGGGATGAGGGCCGTCCGATCTACTGATTCTCTTCCTGCCGTCTAGAGGATATTTTGGTACCTATGCACGCAACTCGACTGTGGCTGTATTCCTTTTGATATCCCAACCCATTTTTCTTTTCCGATGTATGAGATATGGCTTTTGTTTCCTGGGTTTCCTCTTTTTTACACACTTTATTTCCTGTTTCTTTCGCCTACTTCATCAGTACATATTATTTCCTGTCCATACAAATTCCATCACCCATTCCAATCAACGATTTAATTTATTTCAGATACATTCTTCATACTAGCGCTACAGTCAGTGGATATAAGTAATTGCGCCCCACATAACTTAGATTACATAATATTTGCCAGACCAAAAAACCCATTTATTATGATTATCTTAATTGATATAACATCTAATTTAAAAGTCTGTTAGATAAAGAATCCAACCTATTGCTCGCAAAAAAGCAGCTTTGCGTGCCATTTTAGGGTGGCTCTATTCATGGATACTATGCTTTTTAGGAAGGCGGTACTGGTAGCTAAGGCGATGGGGCCAAGGGGCGCAATTACTTATGTCCAGTCACTGTACTTGGTGCATATAAAGTAATGTATTCTAGCCGTAATTATTATGGATTTTCCTAATCCGTAGTGCCTAGCGCCAAGCCGAACCCTAAGCACAGCATGTATGTACATGCAACACAACCCATCGGGTATCCAGCACTCCGTATATAGGATTGTTATCGGACCGATGGCGCAAGAGGGCTTCTTCTGCGCGTTGATACCCATAATTCAGGGGAATTTACACATCCATTGCTAATAGCCTCGGAAGTATAGTACCACTAAAAGTCCCGGTCCAGACCATTCCAACCCAACCGCGAAAATCATTACCCATACTATAGTCCTATATAGTGCATACATATGTTCGGTTAACAGCCATGTGGGGGAACAGGCACTAGTTACTCCATAGTAAGCTTGCTCTACCGTGTGACCACTAGTACAGATCCAGTACTCCATACAGATAAGAATACACTTCGCATTCATACGTTGTATCACATATCCAGTCACTCTATATGTTGTATACTGTAGCCGATCCGCAGGTTCAAAGTTAATCGATCTCGGTAAAAAAATCTATATCGCTCTCGCTCTCGGTTCAGTCTTGACCGTCTCTATCCTTGATGCCCAACGTATCGAGCTGATCAATCGATACCCCTGTCAGTTTCAAACTCATCGTTGGTGCACGTGTGCTTTTGCTGGCATCAGCGTCCGAGGTATACAGCCATAGATTGAGTGGGGGTTGGTGTGGAGTTTGTGTTAGTTCTTTGTTTCCATTTTTGTTTCTGGGGTTATGAGAAGTGTTGATATAGGTAGAAACTAGTGTATGAGCTTCCAATGAACCGGGGTAATGTGAAATTGATGGTCGAAGCTACTGTAAGCCGTGCGAGTCAGGTATATCAAAGGTACGGAGTACCGGAATTTGAAATATCAGGGAACCATGCCCTCCAATGTTTGGCTACCACCACAGTGGTTCGAAGGATCATCCCCAGGTGCGCGATACTCAGTTCGAGCATCGCTAGGCCGATATTGCAGCATGAACCAATCAGGAAGAGATGATCTAAATGATACATACCGTACTCCCGTACTCCGTTTAGTGTCAGAACCTGCGGGAAAAACGAATTGCTTACTGTCTAGTCAGCCAACCAGCTCTCACATTTGCTCGGGGAAAAGTTTTCCTGGGGAGATGGGTCTGCGTTTGTGTGCTCGATGTTTTACAGGCGTTGTGCCTGGCCAAGCGCCGAAGTACCTACCGTAAGGTAACATAGCCCTAAGCTAAGGCGAATCCCGTGGCGAATCCCAATTTTGACCGCTCCTTGAGGGTCATCTATCCTATCAAGGAGCGCTGGGGGTAATGGAGTGGGTACGGGCAGTATCCGTAATCCGAACTCTGTACCCAATATGGTGTTGGATTTTCATTTTTTTCCTTTTTTCCTCCCTTTTTTCACGTAATTGCCATTTCATATGCTGGCCCCGCTCTCCTTAGTGCCGAGATACAGTACGTTAGGGCAACAATGTAACGGTCTAGTAAGGTATATTGCGGATGAGTGCTCGAGGGCAACTTGGGAAGCTTTCTTCCTTGCATGGCCGTACTACTCCTCCGTAGGGAGTAAGGCAGGAGTATCTAAGTGGTTTCGAGGGGCCACGTACTTGTTGGGGCGCCGAAGGTCGGTGAACGGGCGCAAGAGCTGTGCGTGGTACGGAGTAGAAGCACGGGGGTTGGGATAGTGGAGATATTTGGAGGGAGAGTGTGGTACGGAGTATGTAGTGTTGACATGGAGTAAGATTGCAGAGATTGCAGCTATGCAACTACCATACTCCGTGCTTTAATTCGCTTATACCGAGTAGGCACTCCATGTATAGACGAGATTGGACCAGTGGAGGAGCAGGGTTGCAACGGTTCTTCACATCCCTGCAGTCATAGACGCTTGACTCCATATCTGAGCCATGATTGAGATAGAATACCTTCTTGGAAGCTGTCAAAGTTTTTGCACGAGAGACAAATCATATGGTGTGGAAGTATTCTCCCGGGAATCAGTGGACACCAAGGTAACAGCTATGTCTAAGTTCGCGAAGACAGATTTTGGTTCTCTTCATCCTTTTTTTTTTTCTGATCTTTTTTTTTTAAAAAAAAAAAAAAAAAAAACAAATTTTTAAGAGCCAGAAGATGTGTATACAGCATCCGGTGAAGTCCAAGTAAGTCAGGAACAAGATTGAGATTGCCTCGTTCTCGACGATGGAACTGGCCAAAACCAGTTATGGCCCACCTGTCATTGGAAGGCTGTATCACTCCCCGAAAGTAGGGCCCACTTGTTATATCCACAGGTGTTCCTGTTGAAATCACATATGACCTTATGTACTTGATGTATACAATTAGGCGAGAATGCACATACTTCCTATATTGCGTACGAAATACACAATTGGGAATTCAAATTGACACATGTCAAGATTCTAGTGACCCAAGTAAACCGTGGTTGAGCGATAAAGCCCCAGAGCCCCAGTTGAAAAACCATTGTATATAGTTGTTCCTCTCGTTGATTGTATATTCAGATGATCAGATGTTCACTATATAGGTTCCACGGTATGTCAAAAGGTTAGAAATTATATGATTTGCACGTTCCAGATGACTTTACTGTGGCAAAATGGCCATAGTGGGGATTCGACGCTTTGCCTAGTAGGGTTTGCAAATCGTCCCCAAATCTTTAGGAATATTTAAGGACATGTATATGCATATCGGAAACTAGGGTTATCACCCGGAACCTTGCGCATACAAAATAGATTCTTCAGGGAAAAAAAAAAAAAAAGGGAAATCCATCGGACTCTAGATCTTCCGATCGACAAAATCTGAGGTCAAGAGATCGATCTCAACGTAAAAGGACATATTCACAGTAAGAGGAACCCGGGAGAAAAAAAAGTATATAGCCAATCAGATTAACCAATGACGTTTAAGTGATATCGATCATACCTAGATAGATTCACTGATGATTTCATGTTTGGATCTCGAGCCTATCATTTACCCCGGAAAATAACTCCGGGGTCGATGAATTAGGGTTATGGATAGGACTGAAAGGACATAAGGCTAATAAAGAATATATCAACGTAAAAAATTGTCAAAGGTACATTTATATAGACAATATATAAGGAAATTATTTCTAATCTACTCTGTTCATTTACATTGTACATAGGCTATCAAAAGTCCGGCCTACTATTAACCCCCCCCCCTCTTCCTTTCCACCACTAGTAGAGATTAAAATTGCCCTGATTTTTTTTTTTTTAGGAAGATTAATTCTGATATTTGAAGTATTATTCTGTTTTTAAAGCGTCTCTAACATCTTTTAGTTGCTTATATTGGGGACATGCCAGCTTTGGTGGCCCACATCCGCCACTCGATCCCTTTCCCTTTTTTTTCTATTTTTTTCTCAATTCTTTCCCTGTTATTTTCTTATTGAATTATTCTTTTCTTTTTTTTCTCTCTCTCCTTATTATATCTATTTCCCTCCCCCCCCACTTTGCCCTCATTTCCCTCTCTAGGCGCACAGTGCAGAATTAACTGCATAGGTCTAGCGCGGCCCCAGGGCCCCTCTCTCTCTTTCTCCATTCTATAATTCTTTCTATGATCCGTGTGATTTGCTTGATTATCATGCTTTCAAATGGTGGTTGGGCAGACAGAGAGTTGGGTTTCTGATTTGCTATTTTTCTAATGAGTGAACAGACACTCAGAGGCTATAGGCCTCTTGCACCTCGCACCAGGCTGCTCGGTGGAAGTGGAGGGGAAGGCGGAGATGGAGCAGGAAGTCCTGGCGGAAGTGCCCCAGAAGAGAAACGGATGAGGCGAGCATCGACAGCTTGTACGGAGTGTCAAAAACGCCGGACTAGGGTACACATTCACTTGCGCTTCCTATTTTTCTATCTTCCCCCCCCCCTTTCACCTAATCTATACTGGAATTCAATCAATCTAACATGATCTTTTTCTATTATTCTACTAGTGTACCGGCCCACCTCATTGCACCGAATGTTCAACCCACGCCCGCGAATGTGTCTTTGATGAAGCCGCCGACAGACGCCGCAAGGCATCCGCCAAGCGAATTCAGGATCAATTGGACCATTTCAGGTCATTTCTGGATGATCTCATCGGCCTTATCCGAGACAGTGACGGTCCGACGGTGCAATTGATCGTCAATACCATACGATCGGGATCAACCCCTGGAGAGATTCGAGATTCTCTTACCCGTCTATTGGAAGATGATCATCAAACCAACTCCCACATTTCAGGCACACACGACTCACACCTAAACCTAAACATCACTCCGAACAATAACATGGGCAATTACTTCAACCCCCCTGGCTGAGTTAACCCAATCTCTCCTCGGGCAATATACGCATCCCTGGAGGAATATGTGCTAGCGTTACGTCGTCCTCCCCCGAATCCGCCCTGCCAAATCTTCTCGACCCCAAATCCTCAAACGACCAAACGAACCTGGTTGTTTCATAGCGTTGCCTTCATAGCTGTTATTGTGTCTCTCTCGGAGATGGAGTAGGCCATATCAGCCGTCACATATTATTCCTTCTAGCCGTGTGACCAGCTCCATCTTTATGTTTATTGCCATATCTCGAGACAGATTGAGATCTCGCAAAAGAAACCAGACTGTCCCTATTCTCTTACCCCAACCCTAGTTATATCTTCTTTTTGTTGCATATCCTTTGCCATCCCAGAAGGGGCTTATGATAGCTCGCAAAAATTGCAGAGAGGCCCGACATACCTTGACAGTGAATATACCCAAAGATACCCAGTTCTAGCTTGTCACCTTCAGACTTTGTTTCTCGGGTTGGAGTTACACGCCGCGGTGTTTGTGGATTCGGAGCAAACGGGATTTCTTTTTTTTATATATTGGAGTTTCGCATCAATTGACCTGACATGTTTACTCGTCACATTCGCCATCTTTCTGAGTAGACAACTTAACCCATGTCCCAAAGCCTTGACTTCGGGTGAACATATATAGTCGAGATATTCCGAATATAGAAGGCGGTATCTAGGCAAATAATCCGGGGCCATCCTCATAGACTACCTTTATCAAAATTCCAAGGTTTTCTTAATAGACTCAATTTCATTTCAACTTCTCAACAGCCTTTTACCCGATGAAAACTCGATAGGGAGATGATCTTGATAACCGTAGCTTTCGTCGTTCGTATATGAGAATCCGGGGAGGTGGAGGTATTCCCGCGACCGGAGACTTGCCGAGATCCTATCCTTTCCCATACCCCCCCCCCTCTTCCCCCCGGATACTTCTCCTTTCTAACCCGTACCTCTATCTCCTTTCTATATTCGGGAATTAATTCCCTGGGTCCTGCCGATCTCGATATGACAACCACTAGCGTTGCCCTGCAATCTCGGCCCGCAATCAAGCTAAATGAAACCTCAACAGAATTGCCGTCTAACAAGAGGAAAGCATCCGACACATTAAAAGATGGTGTTGTACATCGCCAGAAAATCACCAGAGCCTGTGACTCATGCAAAGTAAAGAAAACAAGGTGTACTGGTACCCTACCATGCAAAAGATGTACACGACTGTCACTGCCATGCAAATACAACGCCGCATACTCTCGGGGGTTACCGCCAGACCCTCTTCCTGCATCGCCGAGTCCATTGACTCCGACTGCGCGTCGTACATTTGATGATATGGATGGGCACACTTCCACCAGCCCCAATCTACCGGGAAATGGTCGGGACTCGACTGTGACCGACAATCTACTTCCAAAACCAAACCAGCACCAGCATGTGGTATCATCGCGTAACTCACCAGAGCCAGGCTCAACGGATTTTGAGGGTAATTACCTCGGCCCTTCATCCGGCGTATCGTTTATCAATCGCGTATGGAGTCGTCTGCATCAAGATGAAACGACGCACTATCCAAATGAACTCCAAAATGAATCCTCGCGGAATACAGCTGTCTTTATGTTTGGCGATAAGCCCTACTCCAATCCCCAAGAGGTGGATTTTACCCTCCCGTCTCTGGAAAAGGCATTGGAGCTGGTGGAGATTTACTTTGATTACACTATGGTGACTTACCGGTTTGTGCACAGGGGCAATGTGGAAGAGTGGACTAGGCAGGTTTACCAAAATAACATCGGCCTCTCCAATCTTCCTGTGGGAAATATGGTTGCTCGGACTGCTATCGTTCTCATGATCATTGCTGTGACTACTTTGTTCGTTGAAATGAAGCCCGGGGGGATGCCTGGTGGGAGGGGCGAAAGGCTAGAAAGGTTAGTAATCTCTTGGTGTAGTCAGAAACTTAGCTATACTGAGAAATTACAGTGAGCGATGGTATGCGGCGTCGAAATACATGTCTTCTCTTGAGTCAGGGCCGCCGCGACTGGAAACCATCCAGGCCCGGCTGGGCCAATGCCTATATCTGCTGTCATCGTCCCGGGCCAACGAATGCTGGTACTCATTCGGCACGACAATGCAGATTGTGACTGCACTCGGATTGCACAGGAAACGGCCAGCCAAAGCCTTGAATAACGGGTGCTCCTATCTAGAATTGGAGCTCCGCAAGCGCATCTTTTGGAGTGTATACACTCTAGACAAATATTTAAGCATTATGTTCGGAAGACCTCGACTGCTCCACGATGAGGACATCGACCAAGAACTACCGAACGAGACGAACGACGAAGATCTACTGGAAGATGATCCGACGCGAAGAACAGGATCCACGGACAGCATGATGATTGCCTCTGTACTTCATTATCGGTGAGTCCCACGTACCTACCCTGTAGTTGTGTCATATAGTACCTGGGCACCTAACACCAAACCCAGACTTGGTCGTATCCTGGGCGATATATCCCGCCAACTATACAGCATAAACACACTCTCGAGAGACTCCCCCCTCGAGACCGCAATCCGCCTAACCTCGGAACTCGAAAAATGGAAAGAAACCGTCCCACCTTTATTCAACAGTGTTCACCCAACTAGTTTAATCCCGCCCCTCTGCCGCCAAAGCCAAGTCCTCCAACTCGCCTACTCGCACGCCATGATCCACGTCACTCGCTCGTTCCTCTTGAACGATTTCACAGACCTCAGTCGCAGACCCACAATCCCGCACCCGATGATCAGCTCGCACGTGCAGAAATGCATCCAGGCTGCCGAGGACATCATGACAATGACTGATGGTCTCGCGCATCAGGGTGTGCTGATCCAGTCCTTCTGGTTCACGCATTACGTATGCTTCTGTGCTGTTTTGGTCGTTTACATCCATACTATCCAACAGCACCGGAAGTCATTGGGTGGATCTAGCTCAGCCTCTGTCTCTTCAGTCGGAAGTCCCGATGACTCAGACAAACTGCGCCAGCTCTTTTCTCTCGCTGAAACTTGTCAACAACACCTTGCTGAAGCCACGCGCAAGAACTGTCCGAGCCGTCGCTACGGGATTATTCTGGAGGAGCTGAGACGGGAGGTTCATCGGCAGATCGGATCCAATAGGCTTCCTGTTGAATCTCGGGCTCATTTTTCTAGAGAAAATGATACTTTCTATGGCTCAGGAGAGGCTTCCCAGAATGCGGATGTAAAATCGGTCCTCTTTGACGCCCAGGCAGTTGATTTCATGATGCAACCATCCGATTTGGGGGTGAATACGGGAGACGATGCAGGCTTCCTTGAGAGCCTCGAGGGATCGATCTGGTGGGCTCAGCTTGACTCATGGGTATGTATTAGGCTTTCCTTGACGAGTGCGAGTACGGAATGCCAATCGTCTATACAAACCCTCTATTAACACAATGCGTTTCTAGGCCTTGTCCAATCTCCCTAATGACCCATCTACATTCAGCTTTTAAGCACAGTATGAATGTAGCTCACGAGTCACAAAGTCAAATCGCGTTCAATTGCAAATATCCTACTACAGCTCATGTCACATTCTGGCCATTCTTCCCTCAACACGCTATCCAGACACAAATTTTGATTCAGTGGCGCTCAAAACTGCATGATACCACCACGGTGAATGTTCTCCAAGTAGTCATCGAACTTCGCAGATACCTCAATCACATCCTTGAGATGATCATACGTGAGAACCTCCCTTTTCCACTTCGCGTATTGACGAGCAGTGGTGATGGCATTCCGAATTTGCCGACCATTCAATTTCTCCCTCTGAAGCACATCCAAGCTCCCCGTAAGATTCTTAACGTCAATTGCATCTTCATCAAACCCATCTAGCCGCTTGATAAAAGTATTCCAAATGATTCGTCTCTGCTCCTCGCCGAGAGGAGGATAGTGCAGTGCGAGCTGGATGCGCGACTTGAACGCCTCGTCGAACGTGCCTACCCGGTTGGTGGTCAATATCAGGATCCCCTCGAAATACTCCACCACACGCAGGAATGCCGATACTAGTGCGTTCCGGTTCAGATCTTCCAGACCGCGCTGCTCGAGGAAAACATCTGCTTCATCGAGCAGGACTACACAGTTCCAGATCTTGCCCAGATGTAGCACGGATTCGAGGTACTTCTCCACTTCCTCTGGCTTGGTGCCGACGTCGCCACATGTGACTCGGTAAAGAGGCCTCTCAGCTATCTCAGCCACACTCTCTGCAGTCAGTGTTTTGCCTGTTCCTGGCCCACCGTGCAGAAGCAATATAAGCCCATTGCCTTTTCCAGCGATCAGATCGGCGGAGTATTCAGGCTCGACGTAGTTGGTCACCAGTGCTTCGATAAGGTCTCTGGATTTGGAGTCGATGGCTAGACTGTCGAAGGCGTCTTTGTTCCATTCGACATGCGAGATGCGGTCGACGGAGAGATCGAACCATTTCTTGCGCCGGAGGTTGAATCCAGTCACCCTCGGAGGCATCAGCATGCTGAACGGCTCTGGTGGGGGTTGATCTCTGGCCATGGCTCGGTCGTCGAGTGTGTCTTTGCGTGGGGTGTCACGCAAATACCCGGTCGTGTCTGGATGCAGTCTTTTGTACGTCTTCATATCTATAATGTATCGGTCGTCGGCCTAGTAGCAATGGTTAATTCGACTCATCATGGAAGGTTGACAATAAACACATACCATGGTTTGGAAATTCTCTTCCTCGGTCGCCTGATAGGACACATGCTTCTGTGTGCGGAATGTCCAGAAAATCTCCCCACGGCGCTGAAGCTTCTGGATGAGAAAATCAGGAGCATACTTGATTGGGAATACCGCAAGGTCCGTGATAGCACACTCCTTGTCTATGTCACTGTTTGTTAGAGGAAGGCTAGAGTCGTACGACAAATACTCCACTTCCGGCGACGACGGCATCTCCATGGCACGCTGTGGCTTTGGCATCTCAAAACTGAGCCTAGTCCGGTATTTATAAAAGTCGCCATCAAAGTCCCAGGTCTGGGCACTGATCCACCAACAAGCATTGCTGGTGCCATCAATGTCTGGGCTTTGAGATGGCCAGTCCCTGGCTACAAAACCTATATGCTCCTTGTTTTGGTGCGAAACCAGGATTTGGTTGGGCTTGAACAGATATTGAACGTATTCGGGACGAATTTTACCTTTCTCAAAAAGCAGGTCTGCTGCAGTGTACTCTTTGCCGCAAGCCTCTTGGACATAGTCCATGAAGAGGTCAAATTGTCTTTGTGCCTCAGAGCTCAGTCCTCCTTTGATTTCTGATTCTCCACCACCCCGGTTATGGTAGACGAAGAGATAAGGTGACGGGACCTCTCCCTTGTCCCGGTAGTTGTTTTGCATGGATTGAAACTCTTTGCCCCTGAGGAAATCTGCGATGACGTCTTTGAGATCTTCAGATACTGGGAAAATGGTCTCGCTGAATGGTTCTGGTTTGCCATACTTTGTGTTCGATGACTGCCGCTCAGCCCTTCTTTTGTAGTTTCGGAACACTACAAAAGATATGTCTCTGTTGAGAGCGAGGTACAGCTCGAAGTTGACCAGTGAATCATTGCAGCGCAAATATGGCGCACCCATGTTTCGCTGGATGAGCTCAGGGGGGTCGGTATAAATCCCCATCCATGGAGACCTGGACCAAGATCTCGACCTAGACCTGGGCCTGCGTTCTCTGTGCCTAGGGTTGAATCCACCGTCACTGTCGTCCATGTGATTGTCACTCGGATATGTGCCATCTTTCTCAATTCGATAAAGGATCTGATACTTTGATGCTATGGGCAGGGCAGGTTTTCCTTCCAGCTCCCGAACCTTGTCTCGAAGAGCTGCGATTTGGGCCTTGAGGTCATTGGCCTCCGACAAAGAGACACTTCCTTGGCTATGAGGAGTGTATGTGTCTGAACGAACGGTGTTTGAATACTGCGGATCCATATCGTATGATTCCACAGACTGTGGACTCTGAATTCGGTGCCTTGCAGAACCGTGAGGGGCATTTCTTTCATACACCGGGTCTTGGGAATATTGATAAGGGACAGGACCCGGCAGGAAAGGGCCTGGCATGTTTTGGTTGTTGACTACCGACGGCCCGAAAGAAGGGACAGGGATATCAGGCTCGAGTACTGTTTGGTATCGGCTGCCCTTGGACACAGCCATCTTGTATTGTCGAGCGACGTTCTCCCGTTCTTGCAGCATCAGTAATGAGTAGTCCTGGTTATTCTGATCTTCTTGCTTCGTTCTAGGGTTTGGAATGTAAGATGTACCATCAAATGGAGGTGGAGGTCCCCCTCCAAACGAAGCAGGAATCGGTTGCTCCTGTGAAACGTCTTTGCTCAGGTCTTCGGAGATGGTGTTGGTCATGTATAACTCGTCACGAGGGCGAGCTGGGCTTGAATGATGATACATTCCCATATACAAAGATTCCTTTCAAGATAAATCAAAAGGATTGTTCTACTGTCCAGAATGAGTGGGAAACACAATAAATAGGGGAATACGAGGAGATTCTGATACCAACCACCCCCGTGTCTTGAGCCTCTAGATTGTCATGTGGTGTGGCTGTGTTATGTTAGGCTGGTTATATTTTCATGCATGGGTACCTATCTCATGCACGTTGGTGTCTCTGTTCATCGAGTCCATACAGAAAGCTGGGTGGTGCTTGCCCTCTTGCGTAGTTGCCAGCCCTAATAACATGAGTACTTCACCACATTGGGGTTTTATGCTTTATGCTTCATGCATCTATTCAATATATTGTTAAGGTCTACAAATGTTCATCATTCATTCTGAGAGGCAAAGATGACAACCTCCAGTAAGAAAGATACAACTCGACGAAGTCTTTTCAATCTCTGGATCCCAACTAAAGACGTCGTCTCTGGAAAGTCCAACACATCTCCAACTGATTCTGGGACAACAGAAAGCCCGGCATCAGAGCCAATTATCCCAGGGGGGAAAGATCGGCTTAGGGTTCGCTTGACTCGCAGTGGCTCCAAGATTTTACTGTTGCTGGGCTTGCGTGGTTCATCCAAGAGTGAGTGATGTCTTTCTTTCTATATACCATTTACTAATTCTCTGTCGCAGGTAACAAAGGGTTTAGTGTCGACACTGATTGCGGTGATTCCGTACAGGCTGGCGACGAAAGCCCAGATCCCTCGAACCCATCCTCCCCATGTGGTAATGGCGATGATAGCCCAGGGTATCTCACTGCAGTCGAGTCCCCACAAAGTGAACCATTACCTGCCACTCCTTCGCTCAGTGCCCCCACCGAAGGGGTTGAAACATTCTCTGAGCCCCTACCCGACCTACGACCATCACCCGAGAGTCAGGGCGAATTAGCTGTTGTCGACGACGTGCAGCAGCATGCCACAGGTCAGGACTCGATATCAACTACTGTCACTGAGCAACGGAGCCCAACAAATCCAAAATTTGTCAATCGCTTTTCGCATAAGATCTCACTAGCGTTTGGCCAGCCCACTGTCATACGCCGTGCGCATCTTCGTTCAAGACCAAGTATCTTGCAGATCAATTCTCCAGTATTAGACGATCTGAGTAAACAGAGTGATGGTGCCAATGATAGCTCAGACCCATCAACCAGCCCCAGTAGTGGTGCGTCTCCTGCTGGTGGGAAGTCAACTCCACTGACTCCGCTCACATCCGGAGGGCCGTCGCCTGCCTCGGATAAAGACAAGCTGCACGATGGACACGAAACTGCAGTGGTGCACTGGCCCTCTCTCTCTGAGATTAATGAAACTTCCAGTCATTCAGAACCCAATACAATCACTTTATCGCCGTCAATCAAAACGGTGGAAGCGACATCAGTGGCAAAGATTTACTTGGAAACATACTTCAACTCCATTTTCCAAAACAGAGATCCCCGACAACAACGTCAGCTCGAATTGGAGCAGCATATATATGCGTTTGAGCTCACACCCGAGGAGCGGTTGATGACAAGACACAACTGGGTCTTGCGAGAGAACGATTATCTACGACAGTGCCGTGTGCTCAAATCAAATCGATACCGCACTCAAAGCGAAAGCGCCATATCTGTCGCAGGGTACAAACCCATAAAGGTACTGGGGAAAGGAAGCTTTGGTGTTGTGCGTCTTGTTCGAGATATTGGCTCCGATTTAAAGAGTTCCCATGAAGATGACCCTCTGACTCTCACAGACAACAATGTCCACTCCAGATCGAATCCTCTTGGGGTTCTAATGTCTGCTGTAGAGGGTGCCAAACAAACCAGGCGAAGGTATATGACCGGCGAAAAAAAGGAGGTATATGCCATGAAAGTCATCAAAAAGGCAGAGATGATCCGCAACTCCCAGGAAGGCCATATTCGCGCAGAAAGAGATTTCCTTGTTGCCTCTGAGACCTCTCGTTGGGTTGTTCCTCTGATCACCAGCTTTCAGGATGCCAACAATCTGTATCTTGTGATGGATTACATGGTTGGGGGTGACTTTTTAGGGCTACTGATCCGTAAAGATACGCTCCGCGAGGACTGGGCACGATTTTACGTCGCCGAAATGATATTGTGCATTGAGGAGGCACATAGACTTTGCTGGATTCATCGCGATGTCAAGCCTGATAACTTCCTCATCTCTGCGTCGGGCCATTTGAAAATTTCCGATTTCGGTCTGGCTTTCAATGGGCATTGGTCGCACGATCAAGCTTATTATAACAGCCATCGTTACTCCTTGCTGGAGAAACTTGCCATTGATGTCAAGGGTGATTCCGAAGACCAGAAGGAGGTTGCCGAGGCGAAAGAGCTCGCGCCTGAAATAAAATTGCACGGTCTGAATGACTATGTTTTTCATGGACCATCCTCGACAAGTTTGCTGGATTGGCGAGACAACAAGGGGCGACGCAGATTCGCAAAAAGTGTTGTTGGAACCAGTCAATACATGGCACCTGAAGTCATTCGCGGTGAAATGTATGACGGACGGTGCGACTGGTGGAGCTTGGGTATCATTCTATACGAGGTAGGCCGCTCGACATTCCCGTTTTGTGTGTATCAAATTCTCATGGCGATTTCAGTGTCTATACGGTTTTACTCCCTTTGCTTGTGAAAATCGCCACGATACAAAGATCAAGATCCTTGTAAGTACCTCCTTAGTTCCCTTTGCTCTGAACATTGCATTCTGAAACTTCTGAAGCAACACTCAAGAACTCTGCGATTTCCACGAGAGAAATCAACGGACAAGTTAGTCTCCCAGGATGCCATGGACCTGGTTACCAGGATTCTCCAAGAGCGCGAATATCGCCTGTGCTCTCCCAAGTACCAAGCCAATGATATACTTAATGGACGTCCTGTCTCAACTCAAATGCTGTACTCCATGGACCCGCGGTACAGAAACATCGCGAGCTACTACGTATACCCCAACGATGCAGCAGACATCAAGATCCATCCGTTCTTCCGAGGTATCCGATGGCAAGATCTCCACATGTGCCAGCCACCAATGATCCCTAGGGTCAGGAACTGGGAAGACACTAGATATTTTGATGACTGGAAGTTGCCTGGCGACGTTGCGGAGAATGCTGGTTTTGACTCGGAGGATGCTGACCAAGAGCCTGACGAGATCGCCCCTGCGAATCAAGAAATAAGTCCAGTGAAGGACACTGAGCCACCAGTTGCTGAGACTACCCCACGTGCAGCACAGGAGCAGGCGAAAGACGCTGAAAAGAAAAAGGAGAAGAAGCGGCCCCGTGATAAAATCCTTCGAGACAAACAGATGAGCAAGACAGTCTTGGACATTCGCAAAAAGGGGGCTTTTCTGGGGTATACATACCGGCGACCCAACGACGTTGCTTTGGCTTTCAGCACATCGCAAGGGCGTCAACCGTATGCCCGAGGTCAATTGGACGGCCTGTATACATCGTGACTACACAAAGCAAAGCCGTGGTATGGCGAGTTGACGCCCTACTCGATTTGGAACAAACCTGTTGGCTATTGTTATATTTCCATTCATTCGACAACCCATCGTCCTTTTGGGGGGTCAGACATACCTACATAACCCTCTTTTCATCTTGTATAGCACATCATTCCCTCACACCGTTCACCCTCCTTCAAACCACACTCTTCACTCCACTCTCCCTCTTATGTATCTTTAGGAATGAATATATTATTATGGACCGATATTAGCCTACTGTGTACAAAAAAAGTTCGTTATCAGGTTGAATACATAATATTTCCTATGATACTTCATCAAAGATGAACGAAGTGAAACACCCAAAAGGAAAAGCAACAACGGAGGGGAAATTCATACAAACAACAGGAAGCAGGCACTTATGTTTGGTTTCAAATCACATCTGATGGGCAGGAAACCGGGGTATCGGAGAGCAAATTCAGGACAGGAAGCTTTTCAGGGGTATCAAGTTCGGAGTAGATGGATTTAAGGGGGGAAATAATTAAGGAGAAACGTGCACAAGTGGCAGTAACAAGCGAACTGAGTTCACAGAACCGGCGCGCTCATGGAGAAAGCCGAATCCGTGACACGATCCTCGGGCTTCATAGTACCATTGAGCAGTGGACAGAGCTTCTTGTTTGTTTTGATGTGCCCGACCTGGCCGCAGTTGGCACACTTGCGCTGAGTACCAGCAGGCTTGCCGTCCGGATCGCCAGAGCGAGGTATGCCCTTTTGCTTTTCGCGGGCAAACCGACGCTCCTTGTTGCGGTTGAGACGGCCGAGCTCGGCTTCGATCAACTTCCTGTTGCGGGCGTCCACTTCTGGATCGCCTGTAGGCTGGAGAGATTCCAGCTTTGTGTGCATGGCTTCGTTGTGGTGACGGTGTTGGATATAGTGTCTGATCACTCGGGGATCGAAAACATGTTGTTCCTGCTCCACGATTTCGCCGTTGTCTAGCTTGACCTGGCGGGTGATGCGCAACACTTTACCGCGTTGGCTGTTGAAACTCATTTTGCTGAACTGACTTGTTGTCTCATCGTCACGACGATATGGCCCAGGTGTTGGTGCTTCGGATCGGGGTGTTGGTTTGTTGAACTGGTATTCCTCTTCTTGATCCACGTCGCTTTCCTGGTCGGAATGTTCAATGGTGGAGGACAAGCTGCTTTTTTGAGCATCCCAAATCCGACGAATGGATGTTTCGTATGATCTTTGTTGGCGGGCAACATTGTAGCTGTGACCTCCAAGCTCCTTAAGTCGCTGTGCGTCCAGCTTATCCTCAACACTTTCGCCGATAGCTTTAAACCCACCCTTCATGCTTGTTTTGATGAAGTTATAGCCCTCGCCACGGCCGGTGGGATCTCCTTCGCCATGGAGTTTCAACATAGCCTTGCCTTGGGAGGCTAACAGGAAGTTGCGAGTTGCCTTCCAGGGAGCCATCTGCTGCTCGAAGCTCTCGAATTCTTCATCTTCTTCGTTTTCCCCGCCAGTCTCGGCATCGTTGCCATAACCGGTGTCGTGGAGATGCTGCTGTCCAATCTGCATTGATTCCAGAAGACAAACATCTTCGGGTTGGACCCACGAGCGGATTGTGTCTTGGTCTGGGAGAACTGGATCCAGTGGCTTCCAATATTTAGTATCTTTGTCGTGTTGAAGGAAATCCTTGACCTTCTGTCGGTTCTGCATATCCGTAGTATTTGGTATGTGAGCGGTAACATCGCTGATCGCGAGTCGCTCATCCGGGCTCTTCTTCAATAAACGATACACCAGCATCTTCATGCGATTCTTGGCGACAGTTGTCACCTTGCGTGAATGCGGTCCGGGGATGTCGACCGATGGGAATTGCTGTCCCGCGACGTAGAAATTCTCAATATTGCGCAGGCAATAGTCACTGCCACCTACTCCAGTGGTGCTGCGGACCACGAGGAAGTCCGTTGACTTGGGTTGGTGCGGGAATAGCGGTGCTCGGTACATAGAGTTTGAGATTGCGGGGGAAATTTCGCCAGGGTCAACATGGCCAAAGATTGAGTAGGGACTCTTATCCTGAGGTAAGAGAACAACTGTTTCACCAATATCTGCCCTTGGGCGAGTGGGATCATCAATGTTCTTTCGTCGGTAATAATTGATGAAACGGTTGCACATTCCAAAGTTGGCCAGCGTCATAGGCTGCTCCTCGGAGTACTCTACCAGCAAGACATTGGAGTTGTCTCCCATTGACAATGCCTTTGTAGAATCATAGACAGTTTTCGCATCTTTACCACGTAAGTGCTTGCGTCTAAGCTGAACCGGGTTCTTGAACCAAGCGGTTTGCCCAGGCCGGAAGGCCATAGCAGGTCGGTGGAAAGATCTAGCTTCAGCCTTGGCCAACTCAGTCTTGTAGTAGGGCCACTGCAAGCGCAGGGCTGGCAAAGCGTGCTCGAGTGTCACGTTGCCAAGAGTACTGCGGATCTTGTTCTGATGATTCTGTTTGAGCATGTCGTATGCTTGATCATTCGAAATGTTGTATCGCTGGGTGAGACGTCGCGTCAGGTTGAGGTCTACTTCATCCCTAGTGCGAGGAGCGGCGTGCTTCGGCTTGTTTGCAACGGCATCCGCTCTTAATTCGTCGACAAGAATGTTCGGATCATTAAGGTCAATTGTGACTCTTTTTGCGACTTTCATTGTGGCTTGTTCCGGGTCATCCAATAGTGGGATATCAATATGTGATAGAGCAATGACATCCATCGGAGTTGGGCCGGTCTTTCGTTTCTTGTTTGGACTCTCAGTTTCCATGAGCCAATCTGCTTCATCCTCATCAAAGTTACCATCTTTTCTTTGTGCCAATGGCATCTCTTCCGGTTCAATGCAGGAGACATCATCCTTGACATCCCAGTCCACACAAATCGTTCGAAGATCCTGCATGGTGAAGCCACCCGGCAGCACTTCATCTCCGTCCATGTCATCCAGGTCAATGTCTTCCTTTGTATCCTCCTCCGCCTCTTCCCCCTCCTCTTCGCGGTCCGACTGTGTAATCATCACCAAGCCAAGAGTTTCATGATCAAGCCCACGCTTCAGGGGTTGACCGGTTCGGAATGTACGCTCATGGTCAGCCGCCAGCTCGATATTCACTTTCGTGGGCAAGACAGGCTTAGGCGGCTTGGTCGGTTGTTTTCCAATGAAGATAGCCTTCTTGTGGGGAATCAACTCGAGCCAACGTGGAAGAGTGTTGCGGTCGAACGAGGGAAACAAGGAATGCAAAAGCTCTTCGTGGTTCTCGGGCGGCGCAGGTGGGTTTTCAACGCCTGACATGGCGAACAACTGCTGCTGAAGTTTCCAAGCGCGGAGTTCCACAGGATTCATGTCTTCCGATAGAATACTGTCATCATCCGGGAAGTCATCTTCCTCCATCATAGGTGGCTCTGGCTGCGGTTCCGGGACTGACGGGATGGGTGGTAGGTCGACGGGAGCATCTGTTAAGGGCATTTCTTCGTCTTCGAAAAGGCCACGGGTAGAATCATCCTGTCCAGCAGGAGGCGGCGAAAAAGAACCTTCGCCAAAGAGGTCATCGAGATTGTCATCCTGGGTTTGAGCTCCCTCACCCTGGTCACCGAAGAGATCATCGCCGTTTCCGAAAAGAGCGGCATCGTCCGAGCCCAGATTCGCGAAAGGATCTTGATTGTCGTCCACTGCAGGCAAGGCTGGGGCTGGGCGTCCGATATCCTCTTCCTCTGGAAGTTCATCGTCGTCGAAATCCTCGTAGTCGATTGCATCGTCGGCTTTTTCACCAACTTCCAGATCACGCGACAGGAAATCTAGAGAGGGGCCGTTATCTTCATAGTTGTTCAGTTGTCGCATCACATCGTCGAAATCGGTATCATCCCCATCCGGGGCCTTCGGTGTTGCGTGAGGCATGATGGGCAAGTATGCTTGTGTTCAAGGTGAGAAGCGTGTTGTAGATGAAGAAAGCGTTAGATCCAACAGGTTGGTGAGAGAAATCGAAGGCTAAGAATGTAGGCGCGAGCCAGACAAGGCGACAACGCGATTCAGAATATGCACATCTGGGTATTATGCGAGACTGCAATTTGGATGTGGTTTTCGCCGTGGCTCTGGTCGCGCAGGATAGAGGAGAAGAGGAGGGGCGTGTCGGACAGGTGGTCGAAGAGAGAAAACGGGTTTCTCAGGATAATGCGCAAGGGACGGGCCACGCTAACCCGATAAGGTAATCAGCTCGTTGCCTGAAGTTCAATAAGTTCAATACTTGAGGATTCAATAGGATTTTTTCAATACAATGAAAAACAATAGAAAAAAAATTATACATATTTGGAAGTAAAAATACATTTGAAATTATTGTCAGATGAATAGCAAGCATAAGTCATGACACATTGAAATCCCCATAGAAAATACACAATGCCTTGCTTGCACCCTCCATGCAATAGTGCATTACTGTAGCCTTCTCACCCTCAGGAACCAGCTTTGCAATCTGTTTCAAATCAGAGGTCCTTGGGATGTAGAGAACCATGTGCTTGCTGAAGACTGAGTATTCATCATACAATCTTTGGAGGGAATATGGCTCCATGGTCTTCAGGTTGAATACCTGATCTGAACGATATCCTGGGCCTGTTACAATTAGTTTATGCCACGGAAGCAAAGAGATGGTGACACTTACCTCCCCACGGTGGGCTGGCAAAGACGACACTGTATGGCGCCAGTTCTTTAAGTTGATTCTTGAGAATCTCGAAACAATCGCCTTCGAACCAAGTGATCTTGTCCTCCACTCCATAGACTTTCGCGTTATGCTTTGCGCACTTGAGGACAGCGGGATTTTTTTCAATCGCGTAGATTCGTTTCCATTTTCCGGTCAAGGCAAATGCAATGGTGTTTCCGCCTGCGCCAGCGAAGGCATCCACGAGAATACTGCGCCCAGCAGGCGCTGACTTGGCAATCTGTGAAGCTATCTCGCTAAATAAATATTAGTAGGAAGTCTGGTGTAATAGAAAAGA